AAGTTATAAAATAAAAATAATTTTTTTCTGGGAGCCTGTCTGACATTAATCGTTAATTTCATCGATTACCAAGCCAATTTTAATTAAATAGAACATTTTAATTGACGTACATATTTTTAGAAAGAATTAAAAATTAGAATAAATTACTTTTTTATTATCGTATTTCAAATAGCTGTATCTAAAAATTTAAGGAGCTGATTTTAAAAAGGATACTTTCATCTTTTAAAAGAGCAGTTTTTTGAACTTTTAAATATTAATTACTTCGAGAATTATAAAGATTTCTTGATAAAAATAGAATTGTAGCTTCATAACCGATAGCACTTTATAGCTAAATTAAAAAAGTTCAATAAAAATATTTATAATTGAAGATTACCAGTTTTTTGTCTGAATTAATCAAAAATAAAAAGATACTCTTTTGAAACTCAAATCCTCATTCATAAAATTGGCTGTATCCAAAAATTTTTTCACGGATTTTTTAAAAAAATAAATGGTTATTTTAGCATTTCCCAAAATGAAATAAAAACGCAATTAATTAATAAAATAAAATTAAGCTGATCAGTAAAAGCGTTGATTATTGGTGTAAAATAAAAAAAATCTTTAAATTAAACGACGACTAAATTGCAAAAATTCATAAATGTAAATAATCACACACTCGATATTCCATTTGACTTAAAAAGTTGGTAAGCAAACAACAAACTCGGGGAGAAAAATAATGACCAGAGTGTATAATAACGAGACAGACAAATAATCGCCAGCATATCTGTACGCGAACCACTTAGCTCTATTTTATTAACGATAAATATTTTTTATCTTTTAGTTGCGACAATTGAATAAATGTCGAGGATTTGCCGGGCGCTGGAGCCGCTCGAGGGCATCATTAAGCCCAGTACATCCATGCTTTCGCAGATGTATATATTTCCCCGTCCAGAATTCTCTCCCACAACCCAATCCATCCCGGCTTTGGTTCTTTTCACCGACCTTAAACCTGGAGGCGCATTAAATTATTACGACTCTCCTTCTCTTTCTCCTATCTTTTAATTAATCTTTGTTCCGAGCTACAGGTGTGAGTCCTTTCAACGTCTGACCAAACACGGGCATTCATCACTCATTTTTTAAAAGCTCTGTTCTCCACATTACATGTTTTTTTTTTTTGTTTTTTACCGAAAAAGAAACGGTACTTTTGTGGTTATTAATTCAGAGAGCTGCATTGTGAGTAGTCATAATGCCAGAACTCAAGCCGCGTTTTTTCACTTACCAGACTGAAGTAAGCTTGATTGTGTATGTATGCATGTTTGTATATATGTTGCAAAGTAACTTGAGCAATTAGCGAGTTTAAATGAGTGTATGCTTTTTTGAAGACAATAAAACTCGCTAACCATTTCTGTAAACTAAATAGCCATATAAGACAAGACTCTTGACTTTGCACGTGGTAATTCACTTTGAAATTATTTATAAAGTGAAATTTTAAAACAATTATTTGTGTAGTTAATTTTTTTTAAAAATTATTTTTTTGATGATTTAAATTATAATTAATAAATTTACTTTTACCTTGTATTATTTTTTTTAATATTCTACTGGGCAAAAAATTTAAAAATATTTCAGTATTTATTAAAAGAGGACTTCATAAAACAAATGTTAAAAATTTCCACTTAAAAATTAATTACTTAATTAAAACCTTGTTCAAATTTTAAGAATTTATTTGTACGTATTTAATCTTCATCTTTAAAAAAATCAAACCTTCATCTAATAATTTTACAGTGCCCGTAAATCTTTAAATAATTAAAAACTACAACACTATAAAATAAAAAAATTACTATAATCAATTATAATTATAAAATAAAAATTATCGAGTATTATTAATGAACCATTAATGTACTAATCATGTGATTTATTTGAAAATATCCTTAACTAGGCCTTATTACTCACAGGCACCTTATTTACTGGCGATCCGCAAACCATAAGTTTCTCCAGCATGGGTTGTATAATTGCAACTAATCCTTTCAGCCAGTCCGAACACTGTACGTAGACTAATCTACCACATATAATTATCTCGGGTCGAGCAGACTCCAACTTCTCGCTTTGGGTAATGCAACTCTGGTGTTTATGCATTGCTACTGCATTACTCACTTGCCTCTGGCCCTCTTTTTTCTCTAACGTCCTCTACTACTCTTCTGAGCCGTATATTAAATTCATACAAACTACACACACTTTTTCGTTATTTAATTTCCGACTCTGAATGAAATCTGTTAAATACACGCACCTGGACCGTCAATATATAAAATTCCTGGTAATTACTCAGTACCCGTCCCGATGCGAGCTTTACCGACTAACAACCTTTTTGTTCTCTTCTTATTTATTTTCGCTAATTAAATTTAAATTGAGGAAACATTACTACGAAAATTCCATGGTTTTGAAAATTCTTGTTGAATAACTCTAAAAATATTAATATTTTAATTGTGATGAATAAATAACTTGATTGTTAAAAAAAAAATTTTTTTTAATTAAAATTCAACTTTTAAATCCGAACAATAATTTTTTTTTTTTTTTTAATGATAAAATTTTGTTGTTAAATTAATTTTTAAAATAATAATAAAAGAGAGTTAAATTTTAATTTTGGCAAAATATTTTTGAGTCGTGTAATTATAATTATAAATGAATGTTGACCCTCAGTCCTCAGTAGACCGAGGTGGGGGGTGATAGCAATGTAAACCAACAGTAAGTGTACTTATGTTTAAAACCCAGCTCGGAGCTTCCTTGATACTATAAATATATAGGATTAGTCGAGGATAACACCGACGGTTTGTAACAGAAACGTTAAACGCTCGTGAAAGTATCTAACGACTATCACTGTTTCACTCTTAGTTACTGCTATTTTTAAAAGTTTAACTCTCCCAGTTATTGTTATGACCGCTCGTAAGACTCGAGCAAACTTCTTAACGAGTAACGGGCAATCAACGCGGAAAAATTAAATAAATAAATCCTGGGTAATTGAGTTTAAAATTTTATTTTATCTCTTATTCTGCACTGGTAAATTACTTGATTTGAGAGGAATATTATTGATCCAAAAAAAAATTATTTTGAATTTCTTTTTAGAAAAAATCAAATTTTTCAGAGAATATAGTTATAAAAAATGGACGATAATTGTGTTTTTAATTTTTTTTTATCCAGTATTTTTTATATTATTAATTAAAAAAAAAATTGAACTTATTTTTAAATATATTTGACAATTATTTTTAATGAGAAAAAAAAATTGAGGATTACTTGTATTATTTAAACAAATTTTGAGTAGAAACAAAATAAAATGACTTTATAATATAAATTCATAAAAAAAATCATTTCAATTTTCTTACAATAGATCAAATTTTTTATTTTCATAAAAAATAATTTATCAAATTTTTTTTTTGATAATAAAATTACCAATTTGAACTTTTTACAAAAAAAAAAATAATTTTCTCAAAACAACGAAAATACTTTTGTTTATTTATGATCCTATAAATAGGAAGGATATGAATAGAATAGAATGATTTGGCTGAATGATTTGAAGAGATGAATATCAATGGACGGATAATTTGAGTTTAGTGTGTAGAAAAAGTGAATGGAAATAGTAATTAGGCATTGAATTTTCGTACAAGTGAAGAGCGATAATCTGTGGCGTGTGCAGCGCACCCGGACGTACAGTCAATTAATTTTCATAATTATCGGTCATCATTTGATCGAGTGTATTAATGTACGTGTAAATTCAAAATGATACCGGCAGCCTGACGTCGACGTTATTAATAGTTTAATAAATAATCATGTTGACCAATAAATTACCTAGGGAATAAATCTATCCCGGATAATTTACCGCAGTGAATATCTTATGAATATTTCTATTCTCTGCATATCAAAATAAATATTCTGGATTTTGTATTATGGAAAAATTCATCAATAAATCACCGAGTACAATGTTCATGTTTGGCTGAAATCGATTCAGAAAGAATTATGGTACTTAAACTATAATAGAATCGCCATTTTCGATATTCTGCTGGAAGAGATGGACCCTATCATTTTCTGGACAATTTAGTTAATCGCACAGTACTTACCAGTTATTCATCCTTTACGTGCCTGCAGAAAAGTTTTCTAACTGCTTGTCGGGATGATAAAAATCAATAAATTATGGAATAAAATTAGAAATCTATTTAATTTTATAAAAATTCAATTGATTATTTGGGGACGCGCGTTAATATCCCCGGACAAAATATCCCCGACAAAATATCCCCGCGTTTTTGTTGGTTTAATTTTGAATAAACACACAAACACACTAAAAAAATAATGTTGAGATTAATTTTCAAATTATTATTGATGAATTTTTATATTTTTAAGAATTTTTAAGAATTTTGTCCGGGGATATTTTGTCCGGGGATATTCACGCACGTAACCGATTATTTAACCCCCAATTATGTTTTTTGTAGATCATGTCTGAGATATAAAATTTCATACTACTTAAAAGTAGTATGTTTTATACTTATTTAACTTTTTTTTTTAGAAAATCCGAAGAAAAAATTTGGATAATATTTTTCTATTAATTCCAGCTAGAGTTAATTTTTTTTTAATTGCAAAAAATCAATAAAATCACTTCCAAAAAAATCTGAGATTATTTTAATTGAATTGGTTGTAATTTAATCGAGATTTAATTCAAAATTTGTTCGCAAAACTTCAAAAGTTACTATTTCAAAATAATACAATAAAAAAAAAAGGTTATAAAAATTTTCAATGGTTTTTTCTTCAAAATGTCTGATATATAAAATTTTGTACTACTTAAAACTTAAAAAAAATTTAATAAAACAGGATCAATTTTATACAAGACTACGATTAAAAAAATTTTTTAAATTTGATTACTTTAAATAAATGTAAACAGAAATTTCTGCAAGAAAGTTCCTTAATTTAAAACTACCTTATGTCATCATTAGTTTATAGTTTCCCCAATATACACACATCAATTACCCGCGGATTTCAATACAATGAAAAGCCCGACCGCTGTTTTGTATACAAGAGAGAGAACATTAGAGGTCAGTATACCACGTATGTGTATTCAAGTCGTATCGTGGCAATTGCTTCCAATTGAGTACCCAATCATCGGAATCCAATACAAACTCTATAAATATAGCTCCGCGTCGTGCGGCAATGATTGCAGAGAGAGGAGGGAATCTAAACCCAAGAAGCCAATGTTGATTAAACAAGTTGAGTCATATGTCATGTTCTCGATCATTATTATGACCCCCATTGTAACGACCAAATAACAATAATAATAAACTTATTTTTATATATTTCAGTAATGTGCTGAGAAGAAAGTCCATCAATATTATAAAAGTATTTTTCTATTGATTTTTCAGGAAGGCATAGGCTCGTTAAAAGTCGTGCCAGGCGGCGTGGAACTCAGGGGCCAAGCGGCCATTCTAGACGCTCTTATTGCTTCGAGTGTAAGATCAAGAAAGGGGAGGAATCTGGTGCTCGAATCGTGGAGCAATTTCACTGCCTCGGCCAGGGCTCACGACGGCCGGCTCTTGGCACGATTTACACTCAGTAAGATTACTCATTTATTTGTTTTCGCTCAACTTTTTCTCTTTTTGATTTAGTTAAATATTCGGAGAATGCGTTAATTAAAAAATAGCTGAATAGTTAATATCAAAATTAATAATTGAAATTTTTTATTAAGGCGAAGACCGAGTAGACTGCGTATCAAAAGGCTTCCGGATAACGGACCCCCGAGGCGGAGTCCTTTTTTCAGCCGACCGGGAACAAGTTGTCGTGGGTGCTGCGACTTTAAAAGTTACTGGTGTTGGAGGCGCGGTTTTCCGCGGAAGTGTACAGACACCTTTGGTGAGAGCTGAGCCTGGACATAGTCTTAGGTAAGAATTTTTAAAATGTAATACTGATAGAAAAAAAATTTATGCGTTGATAATAAATTCATTTAATTATGAATTATTTATAAATTATTTTATATTAACAGTAAAAAAAATAATTAATTAACAATCAATAATTATTAAGCCATAATTATATATTTTATATTTTTTTAGTAAAAAAAAAAAACTATTAATTAATCAGTAATTAAAATTTTTTGTTTATTCAATTTTTATGGAGCTTTAAAAATTGTCAAAATAAAATATTTAAACTCACTTTTTATTCGAGGGTCTAATTAAATATTTATTAACAATTAAAAAATATTTATTAACATTTAATAAAGTATTTTAGATATTAAAAAATTATTCTAATTATTAAAAAATAATTAATTATCTAATAATTAATAATTTTTAATCCATCTTTATTTATTTTATGTTTTATATTTTTTTAGTAAAAAAAAAAAAAAACAATTAATTGATCAGTAATTAAAATTTTTTGTTTATTCAATTTTTATGGAGTTTTAAAAATTGTCAAAATAAAATATTTAAATTCATTTTTTATTCGAGGGCTTAAATAAATATTTATTAACAAATAAAAAATGTTCATTGATATTTAATAAAGTTTGTTAAATATTAAAAAATTATTCTATCTAATTATAAGACAGTTAAATATTTATGCGACAAAATTAAACATTTCTTAGAATTTCTAAACTTTCTCAAATTTGTTTTGTAAAAAAAAAATCTGCACTTAAAATTGATTCAAAATTTAGTCATAGAAAGAATATTAATTAAAAAAAAATTAGATTTTTCACTTAAAATAAAAAAAAATTTCTAGTCCCTTAAATTTGAAATAAGAGCCAAAAAAATTAATGAAAAAATGTAAGAAAATTATTTTGAAATCAAAAAAAAAATAAATGAATAAAAAAAAAGTAGTTTTTAAAAGCACCCTAATAACCAGTGATTACAATGGAAGTAAAAATATGAAAAGCTTTTATTGGATTATTCAGCAGATCCCTTTAGTTAGGGGAGGGAAGAAGCATAAATTCAATGAACCGTGAGAGAATAAAAGTATAACATTTGATATCTAGCATCATTCAAGTTACTACGCGGTGATAAAGTTCTCATTTCTTGGTTCTCGTTTCTCGCTCCGTCATTCTCGAGCACATAAAACACCGGATCTATAGGTATAGAAATGAACGGCACCAGAGAGGAATAACAACGCATCGCACAGTAGTAATAGTAATACTCATGAATCTCTCGATCCAGCCACTCTATCCATTGGCACAAAGCCATTCACCTAAGAATCCCGAGCCGAAACTCACCACTGCATTCTTCCTACTCATTCCCATCCGATACTCACACTCCAGCTATCTTTTCTTGTGCATTCATCCCTCCAGCTTCTCTCAATCGCCGGTTATATCCCGCAAATACTACTCCGCTTTGTCCGAAATAAAAAAAAAAAAAATACTAGTAATGGCAACAGAAAACTTTACAAAGAAGAAAATAAACTGCAGTGTGCATTAATTACTCCACAAAAAATAAATATAAATATTAATCAGAGATAATTGTTACGAAACTGTCGTTCATCATTGATCAATAAATATTTATTGCTCGTTAATTTAGTCGGTCTTTTTTATTTTATATTAAATTTATCGGGACAATAAACATTTCCCCTGGCATTTATAGCAATTATATTCATATGTGATTCGAATTTAGTCCCCGTAGAGAGGAAGAGTGCATAAAACAACGTTGAAGTCTCGGTTAAGCTGAAACAATTGGAGGCAGACTACGGAAACGGATAGCATTTACAATAGTATCTGAGAAACAAAACGAGCTTAGTATCTGTTTCCACCTTACGAGCGAGTTTAATTATCAACACATTCGTTAAGGCGGATGAATACCGGTTTATATGGATATATACAGGATGAATATGAACTTACGTCGTTAACTTATTTTGATAATTCTGCTGTATTGCACACTTTTTGTGCTATCAATTCATCTTTTTTATAGTTATTTATTTAGTAATTTTTAAAATTCTTCAAAGAAATAATTTTTTTTAGTCTAAATATAAATATAAAAATTGTAAATTATCTTTATTTCAACATCCCACTATTTTTGTAATTAATTAAATAAAATTGAAAAAATCATAATAAAAATAAACATACAAAAATTTTTTTTTCTTTAAGAGAAAATGAGTTTGAAATTTTTAGATTGATTCTAAGTTTGGATTTTTGATTCTAAACATAGTAATAAAAATTATTTTTATTCATTTTGAAAGTGTAATTTAGTTTTTTACTGTGGCGCTACTTGATAAAATTTGACATATTACAATTTATTAAATTGAAAATGAATTTTAATTTTTTTGAATTAATTATTATTTTGAATTTTTTATTATAAAAGAAAAAATTAAATAAACATGTCATACTAAAAAAAAAAAACCTAGAATAAAAATTGGAAATTACAAAAAATTGTAAAAAATTTAGAAAATCCAAAAGTGCACGCCTCATAACGCTCATTCATTATTTAAGAAAACAATAAATTTTGTAATTGATTAAAAAAAAAAAAAATTATAATTAAGTAATTTCCTATAGAGTATTTTTTATTTTTTTTTTAAATATTGGCGCCCGTTTTTCTTGTATGCGCACACAGTCTAAAAAAATCTAGCTTGATCAAGTGGCGCCATAGTTTTCACGTGACAAATATAAAAAGTTTGTTTATCTTTGTAAGGTTGTATCGTAATGAATTTTAATAAAAATTCAATTTAAAAAAAAATACATAAACTAGGCTCCTGGTATAAAATAAGGACCCAGTTCATCGAATTCTTAAACTAATAAAAAAGGCCCGGTCTTGAAATATCAATTTGTTCGGAAGTAATCGTTGGTACATTCAAAATGGGCTGACGCCAGGACGTCCACGTAAAATTTTTTTCAAAACGTTTCTTTTTCCAAAATAGCAACATAAAATTATTTTAAAAAGTAAAAGATGGTTTAATTCAAGTGTTTTCTCGGTGTAAATCTCCTTATATAATTGTATAAGTGCAATATGGTTGTGATAGAGGCTTTTAAAGATCACAAAATTGCTTGACCTTGACCAGTCGGGTATAAAGCACAACCTCACGCGCTTCGCGCTATGAGGCGTGCAAAATTTTATTTTTAAATGATCGACAGTTGATATAATATATTATTTTTTATTTTTTGGCGCTTTTATTTTAAAATTGACAATTTGAATTTTAATTATAAAAAATTCTAAAAAAAATTGCATAAAAATTTTATTTATTGATAAAATTTAGCAGTCTTCGACCAAAATTAATGAACTTTTGTTTGTCAACAGGCTAGAGTCGGCAACGAGAACGCTGGAAATAAAAGCGCCAGAACGAGTGGTGATAGAATCTCGAGCAGGTGAAATTTTGGCATCCTGTCTGTCAGACCTGACGCTCCAGAGTGTGGAGGGCGCAATCAGGTTCGACGCGAAATCAGTCTTCCTAAAGGACCTAAAAGTGGGAACGCCCGTGCAGCGACACTCTACCAGAGAACAGCAGCAAGGGCAGCAGCAACCGCGAAACGGGAGGTCCTCGAGTGACCAGAGGGAATCAAATATCTACCAACTGTGTGTCTGCGGCAGCGGGAAGTTGTTCCTCGCGAGACCGGAAGGTGTCTGCCAAGCAGACAAGACCATCTGCTAATGTCGACTGAAGCGGTCCCTCGGGGAATTCATTGTTTGTTATTTATTTTTCTCGGGGGAGCGCGGCACTTTGCTAACTAAAAACTCATTTTTTTGTATGCATAACGATTCTCTGATGGTTAAATAAATCTTTTATGATTTAATATCTTCAGTCGTATACATATATCGTCTTTAGATTTTGCTAAACAACAAACAAACAAATTTATAAGTAAACTGTTGGTCTGACAAATAATTTTTTTTTTATTTTTATTAATTATTATTATAAATCAATAAGTGTTTTGATACACGGCTGTAAATTTTAAAAATGAACTAAAACATTTAATAACGAATTAACGTTAGTATAAATAAATAAATAAATGAATAAATAAATCTTATTGAATAATGATATATTATATGTAATGATAATAATATCTTGGAGACATATCTGAGCACTGAGTGCTCACGTTCAATGCCGTTATGGCGCCGAGCCTACCCCACGATGTATATCTTGTATATCAATAAAACGAAATTATTAACATTACTTTATATTTTTTTTAATTATTTATCCACTCCTTATATCTTTAGATAAATTTTAAATAATAATAAATTAGATTCAAAATTAGTCATAAGTATGATATATTTTATTTCTCAATAGTTTTTTTTTAAATCTCTTTAAATTCTTAACAAATCTTAGACTTTAGTACTATCTTAAAATTTATCGCCTTTGATAAAAAATTTGAAAAATTTTTATATTAAAAAAATAAATAAGAATTTACAAAAAATCGGGTAGTTTTTTATTATAAATTTTTGTTGAATATTTTGATTACGAATTTTTTAGTAAAGATTAAAGTCTTGTATTGAAAAAATTTTTTTTCGAGTCATTATAAAGAAAATTGTAGAGAGAATATATTTAGACAGGATACGGGTACTCTGTATAACCAAGTGAAAAGTTGATAGCCTCGCACTCTTATACATCAACTGAGGAGACAGTTCTCCAAAGCAATCTCGCCTAGTAGCCGGCTAAGGAGCTCTGACGGAGAGGTAATTTTCTTGGAATTCGAGATTAAAATTGCATCCAGAAGAAACAAAGTGCGGCCAACTGTAGTAGAAGTGGTAGAAGACAATTCACATAAAAGGATATTTTCTTGGATGACATTGAGATTAAGATAAGGAACTAGATAGTCAACTTGACGTAAATTAACATCATTCGAATGAAAACATTAAACTTGGTTGAATGAATAAATGAAAGCTCAGTAAATTTCTAGGATGGGAGAGTGAATTTTAAAAACATTTCTCAATAACATCAAGCTTATTATTTTATTATTCTTCTGAATTTTATTTTATTGTATGAGGTTAATCTTATTTGATTTATGAATAATAATAATAATAATAATAATAATAACTATGTGACTGCCATGACTTGTGAACTAGAAAGAAATAAAATTTTGCTTTATTACATAATGACTTTTGTTAAATTGCACTGTATTTTTTTAACTATTGACGTTTTTAACGATATAAGCTCATTCCGATGTTACACTTATCAAGAGCTATCATTTGAGTACCCACATGCATTTTTGAGATATTTTTCATATATACATAAATGTAATATATAGAAATATATAAAATATATGAAAAATTGATGTGGGTACTTGAATGAAAGGTCTTGGTGAGTGTAATGTCAAGGTGAGCTTATATCTTTAAAAATTTCAATAATTTACAAGATATCTGTTAAATTGCACTGTATTTTTTTAACTATTGACGTTTTTAAAGATATAAGCTCATCCCGATGTTACACTCATTTAGAGCTTTCATTTGAGTACCCACATCTTTTTTTCATATATTTATATATATTACATATATGTATATATGAAAAATATATCAAAAATGAATGTGGGTACTCAAATGAAAGGTCTCTATGAGAATAACATCGGAATGAGCTTATATCTTTAGAAATGTCAATAATTAAGAAATTATATTGTATTTTTTCATAAATAAATATTGTATTTTGTCAACTTGTCATATTTTTAAAGATATAAGCTCATTGCGATGTTACACTCATTTAGAGCTTTCATTTGAGTACCCACATGCATTTTGACATATTTTTCATATATACATGTATATATAATATATATAAATATATGAAAAATTGATGTGGGTACTCAAATGAAAGGTCTTGATGAGTGTAACATCGGGATGAGCTTATATCTTCAAAAATGTCAATAGTTCACGAGATTTAAGGTCATTTCTTAATTATGTATCTAGAGATAGAGCATTTTCTCATGCAGCCTAAATACTTATCATCATAAATTGACTAACGGTGAGAATGATATGAAACCATGAAAAGGCACAACTCCAGGTCAACACTGGCCACAAAATTTTGCTTATTCTCTTAATAATATATATAATAATCAAAATAAAAACAAAGATGCAAAACAAATCAGTATAGCTTAAAGATACTACAATTTACAGCATTCAAAAATTACTTTTCACATCGATTAAAAATTTTTTCATCAACATATATTACACATTATTGACATGTTCCACTGGATGAGCAAAAAAAAATCAAAAGCTAATACGACCAACCCACTTAAGTTAAAGTTTATAAAATAAAATGAAACAAATTAAAAAAATAGAAATAGCAAAAGCTCATGTAGAAGTGACACTTGATTGGAAGAGTTAATATACGCGTACAATGGAAATTTTGAACGGATTGTATGGAGAGTATCAGTGGAGAGTGTGCCTGGGGGATATAAAGTGCGGGGAAAAGAGTAGACGGAGGTTCACGGGTCTTGTGAACCGTGAAATTGTCCAGACGGGGTACGGGTACGTCCGATAAAGCTTTAAATACGAATTAGTGGCTCCCGGGGCACGTGGAAATGGGTACCTACCGGCATGTCGCTTTTCGTGTGTATAATACGCGTTAGTGTAGATTCTGTCTCTGTATTCCCGGCGCGGTGCGCTACAAAGGACACACTATACTAGACCCTACTACTCAGCTCGTGACTGGGCTATGTACCTGTACATAGAAGTCTGACTGCGCTGTGTATGTACTACTAGCACTCACTCGGCTAGGAATTTTCCAACTCTTTTTATCTCTCTGTTCGGGCTCTTTCTGTCACACTGAAAATTCCGTAAACGTATCGTCCGGATATTTTCGTCGTGTGCAAGCACCAGGGCGTTATATAGTTTGTGCATTGGGTGAGAGCAGGAAGTCACGGTTCGTCGATCAAGCGCGACGAGTAAAATACAAAATTCGATTCGAACTCGACGCACGTCCCAGTGTATTTATAATTGCCGGCAAGCTTATTTAGTCCATGGGATATCTCGGTAACGCCCGAACGAACGTGTGGTTTTACGGTTTACGTTCATGCAAATTGTTCTACACGATAGAATAATACACGTTGCGCAAACATTTATACACATATATTATTTATATGTACATTAATTATGTACGTTTCAATGGAACTTTTTCCCCTGGCCGTACGTAAAAAAATTAATAACAACAACTGCAACAACAATAGCTAAAATTATATTCTACCTGCAGAATAAAATATAGATATACATTGTATTTAAATGGATGACAGATTTTTTATTCTATACCTTGAGGGCAAAGCGCGTAGGGATGCTCTACTGTTGTCTAAAAATAAAAAATCAATTTAAATATTTAATTTGTTTTTAAATTAATTGTAGCTGGTTCATTAGTTAAAAAATTCAGTGAAATAGAGGAAAAAAATAAATAAATTTGATTGAAAAAAATGTAAAATTTTCTGCAAAATTTAAAAAATTCAAAAATGCACGCCTCATAATGCTCACTTAATTTTTAAGAAAAAAATAAACCTCTAAATTATTAACTTTAGTAATTAAAAGTTAAAAAAAAATATTTTGATGATAATTAAAGGAAAAAAACAATGTAAAAGAATTTAAATATTAAATTCGTTAGTTTGCCAGCTTTAATCTAGTTTACTAATTCCTAGTTTGACTTGTAACATTTACTTGACCCACCCGGTGCATAATGTACTTAAATGTAAATTAGCTGTCGCACAAAACGCAGTAAGCTCCACAAAGACAGTTGAGCTTATATGAAACAGTTGAGCAAGAAGGATGAAACTGGAGATAAAGAATCAGATATCTGGATAAAAGGATAGGTGGGTGATCCGGTAGGTTAACTCACTCATCTGGTGGTCAAATATGGGATTCGTGTTTACGTGTGATAGAACAATTTCCACGGGGTAAGTTTATAATTTAATGCAACGTGTGCCTGCACGAGCTGTCTCGTCTGTTGTGCACCGGGACATGAATTTCTGACTAGATATGTGTATGCATTGGCACTGCCAGCCCTTTATTGCCCTCGAGGCTCCTCAAACAAACTTGCCCCATTTCAATTACATTTCATCTAATTTATTATTTCTAAATATTGTTGTTTATTCTTCCTTAAAAGTTTTGGAGTTTTTTAGAATTTTTGTCTGGGCCCATAACATGAAGAGAATAAAATTTTGTATTACTTTTAAATTATAATAATTTAAATTTGTAATGAATATATAATATATGTACATAAAAATTAAATCAATCAATAAACAAATTCTGAAGAAAAAATTAAAAATTGAAAGATTATTACATTAAAACATTATAAAAATTTTTTTGTTATTTTTGTAAAAAAGTAAATTATATATTTTTTAAAAGCAATCTCGGCTTCATAGTCAAAATTATAAAAATTTTACTATTAAATTGAAAAAAACTAAATGAAAAATTATTAATAATAAATTATTGCAATAAAAACTCAACAGCAATTAAATTAATCACTTAAAAAAAAAAAAATTTTTTTTTAAACTTTTAATATTGATATTGTAATTTTTCTATTTAGTTAAAATGATCCAAGAAGAAAAAATCTTGAACAAATAAAATAATTTCTTTGTTCGAAATCAATTAAAAAAATTCTTGAACTAAAAAAATTTTTTTATACAAATAATTTTAACAATAAAAAAACTTTTTACTTGATTTTTGACATAAAAATAATTTACTCAA